TTATCAGGATAGGATTTGATTTCAATTAAAAAATAATTCTAAAGATACTGCTCACTTACAACTAACCCACTAAGAATTGGACTGAATTATTTTTAAACATAAGAAAAGTATTAATTTTAGAATAATATATTTAAAAACTTAATTCAAATATGAAGTAAAATTAATTTTATTTTTCTGATTATTAATGAGTTTGGGTATCATATTATTCGTTGTATTAATCTAATTTTCATTTTAATTTCTATGTTAAACTAACTATTAGTTTATTATTATTTACATAATTTTATTCAAAAGCATGATCATCTATTTAAAAAAATACGAAGTTATTTGAATGAAATGTCACATCACAATTTCTTATTACTTTTTTATTTTAATTTTTTAAATTTGTTACTTTATTAACCTTTTTAATATTTTTATTATATTTTTTTAGATAAAATTGGTCCTTTTTTATTCTTTCACTTTAAAATAAAATTTACTTTCATCCTCTAATATTTTTTTTTAGTTAATTTTCTTTATCAATTTTTTTTTTCATGTTGGTCTTTTCTATTTATCTATTACATAGTTTAATAGAGATATTTCTAGTAGCATTGATGTTTATTTAATCTAACATAAATTTTTTAATTTAAAAAATAATGAAGTGGGAGTGGCATTGAGTGTAATTTTTCCTTCTCCTTCCTCCTCCACAGCTCCTCATTCCTTTCCCCCTCCCCTCCCCCAACCGTCTAGCATTGTCTCCTCCTTCCCATAGTCCCCTTCCCCTCTGCTTCTTCTTCTCATAGCTCCCTAACCCCTTTCCCCAACTCACTAACCCTATCTCTCCCTTCCACAGCCTCTCTTTCCCATTCCCTTCCCGCACTTTCCTATATTTCCTCCTCTGGCCTCCTGCCTCTCCCACTTGTTTTCTTTCAACTCTCTCAAACTTTCCTCCTCTCCTCTCGTTCTCTTTTTCTCAGTTGAGTTTTGTTTTCACTGCAAAAAAACTTTGGAAAGTATTTGGTAAACGATTGCCTCAATTATTTATTATACGTGGTTATGAATAAAAGAAATAAAGATAAGATTCTTGTAGTCACCTAAATTTCTGGACTTCTGAACTTAAATTTCAACTTGCAAGAGTACTTTTAATACTCTCATTCACTAAAGACTATATAAATTTTGTTGTTCTAAAATTTCTCTAGAATATATGTTTTTAATTGACATAGGTGTAGTTCAAGATTTTGGTGGGTTGGAGAAAGGGAAGGGGATGAGGATTGTGATAAAAGGAGAGGAGAAATTGAAAAAATGAGAAAGAGGAGCTATGAGAGAGGGAAATAGAACTCATAGGTTAGAGGGGAAGGGGTGATGAAGCTACGAGAGGAGGAAGGGGAAGAAGAGAAAGAGAGGTTATAGAAGGGGGAGGGTGTAACATCCTCATTTCATTTTTGTTAAATTATATTTTTATTAATATTAAGAAGTATTAGAATGCATTTAGATGTAAGTTTAGAGGATTTTAGAGGAGTTTTGGTATAGGATATCTCGCTTAGGCGAGGTAAATTTCGCCCAAGCGAGATTGAGCGTGCAGGATACCTTGTTGTAGGACTATCTCGCTCAAGCGAGATGATTCTCGCTCAAGTAAGATAAGATAAATGTTGCCAACTGTCACCTCGCCTAGGCGAGAGTGATCTCGCGCTCAAGCGAGCTAGGGATCTCGCTCAGGCGAGATGGGTCGCTCAGGCGAGGACCCACAGGAGAAATATCATACTCTCTAAATACCATCTCGCTCAAGCGAGCATATCAGAAAAGAGGGTGCAAGACCACTGTCTGCATATCTCGCTCAAGCAAGATGCTCGTCGCTCAAGCGAGATATCGTTGCTCAAACAAGAATGCACAGGGTTGAGGGATATTTAAGAGATTTCTCGCATGAGAAATTCATTCTATATCAAACTCACGTCCTTCTCTTAAGCTTTCTTTGAACTCTTTCTTTCTTTTACTTAGATTAAAGTCTCAAAAACTCTGTTTTTTCTTTAAAGTCAAACTTGGACATTGAAGCTAATCGACTCTAAGTAAGTTTCTTCGGACTAAACTTGAGTTTCTCTGATCATTTTTCTTGTTTTTGTTTCTTATGGATATCTTTTGGTATTCAGGAGAACCTCTATAGTTGCCTCTCGATCCTTTTCAATATCTGTCTATAGCTTATCTTCGAGGTAAGAAGAGTTCTATTTTATTATTATATTACAATATTTATTTTATACTCATAGAGTACTGTATATGAATATGGTATGAGAATAGATGATTGATATATCTATTGTGTAGAGTATGAATGAAGATATATTTGTTTAATTGTTTAAACTGATTGATTGTCTGGGTCAAATAGCTAATATATGCTTTTGTATTGTATGATGAGTACTTGATATAGAATATTATGGAACTTGTTGAGTGATATTGTGTGATTTTATGAAATATATTTGAGTAAAATGATATAAGGTAAAGATGTTGATATCAAATGATTTACAGTTGAAATTGTATCAATGAATGTATGCGTAGAATGGACTTAGTTTGGAAGTACTTTACTAAGCACGATCTGATGAGTGACAAAGGGAATAATTTGAGAATGACTTAAGAGTCGGATATGGATTTGGTCTAGTGTGAATAGTTACAAAGATACACTAGGTATAGAGTCTAGAGACAATGAAAATCTGGAGGAAACGTAAGGTGGTGAGCGACATTTACGTATATGTACACACTTTTTCTGAGAGCAAATGCGTCACATGGCCTTACACTCGTTTTCTGACTAGACTCTTGACTATGTCTTTATTAAGGGGCCCAATTATTGTACATGTTGTATCCGTGTGCATAAGCTAATCGGTAACTATTTACCCAGTTGAGTAAGACTTCAAGAAGTACCAGAGGCATCGGTATATGTGATCACAGTGCACTGAAAGTGCGTGTTGGAATAAGAGAAAGAAAAATGAATAATAAATTATTGATTGTTATGTGTGATGTGAATATATTTGTGAATATGAATTTATGAAATTGAATGTGTTGCATTTATGTTAAAATTATGATTTTATGCTAAATGTTTGTAAATGATAAAATAGACGCTCATCCTTACTAAAATTTTCTGGAAACCAGGATGACGGAGCCTCAGGGAAGAATTAGACTATTAGATAGATCAGTATATAATAGGCTCAATTATATATTTAATGACTATCAAAGACTGTTATTTTAAATTCGCTGTCCTTATGGAGAACGAGCCTAGAATTTTTGTTATGTTAGAATTGGAGTACTTTTATAGCATTCCTTTTGATTTTCCTAGAAGTAGAATACACCTAGACCTATGTGTATATGTGTATAGAGGTATTGTTAGGAGTTCAGAAGCCCTCACATACCTATTTACCTACCACGATCATGATTCTCTCAGAAGACCATCTAGATGGACCTTTAAGTATGTCACTGGCACAGAGGTTAAAGCTGATTCGGGCGATCACTGCCTGGAATCAGATGAAGATCTGGATTCGAAAGACTTAGCTGAGATAGAGAGTTAGGACGCTGGAGATGAGTAGGACAGATCTTCAGTAGTTGGTTTTGGGGAGACTGCTTTGGGACTTATACTTATTTATGAATTGTAAATATTATGATTATGTATATGTTGTGTTAAGTCCCACATATTGTGATATATCTTTTGTAAATTATTATACTCAATTTATAAAATGTATGCACAGTCTCTTAAATTTTGTATTTTGATTATGTTTAATACGGCAATTAAAATTTTGTTGTACCATTTATACAAATTTATATGGAATTATTTGTACAATTTACTATATCACGATGAAGATTTCAGTAATTAATCATAACAAAGCCCAATATACACAAACTTTGTATTTTACATCAAATTATAAATTATAAAATGTACATTGTACGAAAAATTGAAATAAGGATGTTACAGAGGAAACTAACGAAAAGGGATGGAGAGATATTGGAAGAGGAAAGGGAGGAAAAGTTACATTCAGTGTCACTTTACCATTTTTTTAATTAAAAAATCTAAATTAGATTAAATAAACAATGTTAATATCATCTCAGCGCCACTTAGGATATTTTTGTTAGGCCATATAATAGAGTTAATAGAAATGATCAACGTGAGAATAAAAATAAAGCTTAAGGACAAAAATGAATAAAGAGGAAGAAAGTTAATTTTATCATAAAGTTAAAAGACGAAAAGACTAATTTTATCTATATTCTAATATTTTTCATAAAAAGACTATATGATTACAATAATTTCTAGTAAATTATAGAATTCTTATTTTATATATATATATATATATATATATATATATATTAGATAGAGAAAATAAAAATATAGATTAATACAAAAAGCATAAAAAATTTATTTATTTTAATAATATTTTAAAAAGAAAGAGAATAAGTATAGATAGTATAGAGTCCGGAGATGATTTGAGAAATCTTAAGAAAATAAGAATGGTAAATATTAATGATAAAAGGGTGCATAATAATTTATTGCTATTTTAATATTCCATAAATTATTGTTTTTATTTTTTACTAAAAGGAAGGTATCACTTGAAACTATTTTGGGAATGTGTAGGGATGTGTATTAAGTAAAAAAGTAAAGAATTTTTTTAAGGGTGAATGAAATAAAGATATTTAGTGAAAGTGCCTTTTTTTTTTCGTATTTTATTAAAATATATAAGAACTATTTTACACATAAATAAAAATAATTTAAATCGATCTTGAATTATTAGTATTTGAGTAAAGTAAACTATAGAGCTTAGAATGAGTAAAAACTAGCTATATTTATGACACTCTTTTTCTAAGGAAATATTCTGTTTTACTCTAAATATATCACAATATTTGCTTACTCATGCCAAAATTGTGTAATTTATTACGAGTAAAATGGAGTGAAATGGGGACCACATCCTTGATTAAAATTCTTGGTAATTTGTATGTCGGTAGTGTGAACTGAAGACTACACTATGCGTGATAGCATATGAAACTGATCAGAAACATCCCACAGGTTTCTTGAAAAAGGAACCTCTGCATTCTTTCTCGGTATCAGGCTTGATTGGTACTGTGGTAAGGTCTTTTCGTAAGGAAAGAACTTCGAATTGTTTGATCTCATATTAATAAGGAGAAGTGTGAAGAAGGCATTTTGAAGTGAAGTGTTGTAATCATTGCAGGTGGGAAACTTGGCATTCACAGATGACCAGTGCTATAGCTTCTTCCTCTAACTCTTCTTCTATCGTGTCTTCAGAAAGATATGATGTCTTTCTTAGCTTTCGTGGTGAGGATACCCGAAGGAATTTCACAAGCCATCTTTACGAAGCTTTGAAGCAAAAGAAAGTTAAAACCTTCAGAGATGATGATGAGCTTAAGAAAGGAGATGAGATCTCACCAGCACTGATTAAAGCCATTGAAAATTCTCTCGTCTCTGTTGTCATCTTCTCAGAGAACTATGCTTCTTCAAAGTGGTGCTTGAATGAACTGTGTAAGATTATGGATTGCAAGAAAGAGCAAGGACAGGTTGTGATACCTGTCTTCTACAACATAGATCCCTCACATGTGAGGAAGCACACTTGGAGCTATGAGCAAGCCTTTGCAAAACATGAAGGAGAACCCAAATTCAACACATGGAAAGCAGCTCTCTCTGAAGCAGCCAACTTAGCTGGTTGGGACTCTCAAACTTACAGGTAAATAAAACGAACTGATTGTCCTGTATGTGTACTTGCTAAATTCAAATTCTGCTACGTGAATTTGTATGGTTCTTTCTCCTTTTTTTTCCTTTTGAATTTGTTAGACTTATATAACACATCATTTATTTCTTTGTTGCCCATTTCATATGCTAGGACTGAATCTCAATTCATTAAGGAAATTGTTGGCGATGTTTTGCAAAAATTGACTCCTAAATACCCTAACCAACTTAAAGGACTGGTTGGAATTGAGAACCATTATATAGAGATAGAATCACTGCTAAAAATGGGGTCAAGTGAAGTTAGAATCCTTGGAATATGGGGTATGGGTGGCATAGGTAAGACCACCCTTGCCACTGCTTTATATGACAAATTCTCTAATGAGTTCGAAGGTGGTTGCTTCCTCGCAGATGTAAGGGAAGAATTAGACAAGTTTGGATTCAAAGCTTTGTATAATAAACTTTACTCTGAGTTATTAGAGAATGACAATTATTGTTTTGATATACCCTTTTTAGTACCCCATTTTGTCAAGAGTAGGCTTGGACGTAAAAAAGTTCTCATTGTGTTGGATGATGTGGCTACCTCAGAGCAATTAGAAAATCTAATTGATTGTGATTCTTTGGGACCAGGAAGTAGAGTCATCGTTACAACAAGAAATAAGCAAATATTTACCCATCTTGATGGAATATTTGAGGTCAAGCAATTAAGCTTTCATCACTCTCTTCGTCTCTTCTGTTTTAATGCCTTCAGAGAGAAACATCCTAAACTAGGATATGAAGATCTATCAAGAAAAGCAATTGTCTATTGCAAAGGTGTTCCTTTGGCTTTGAAAGTTTTGGGTGCAAGTCTTCGTTCAAGAAGTAAAGAAGCATGGGAAAGTGAATTGAGAAAACTCCAAAAGATTCCAAATATGGAAATTCATAAGGTATTAAAATTAAGCTATGATTCTTTAGATCGTTGTGAGAAGGACATCTTTTTAGACATTGCATGCTTCTTCAAAGGAGAAAAAAGGGGTTGGGTAACGAGTTTACTAGAAGCTTGTGATTTCGCTGCAGCATCTGGAATAGAAACCCTTTTAGATAGAGCTCTAATTTCTGTTTCATCTTTCGTCGAAATAGAAATGCATGACTTGATACAACAAATGGGTTGGGAAATTGTTGATCAAGAATCAATCAAAGACCCTGGGAGACGAAGTCGATTGTGGAGAGCTGAGGAAGTTTGCAATGTATTGAAATATAACAAGGTGAGTGGAAGTCCAATTACATGTATTTTATTACACTTGTATCTGTTTAGAACATAGTTAGTATTATATGATAGCCTTTGCTAATTATTATTCTAACTGTTGTTTGTCAGGGAACTGATGTTGTTGAAGGCATAACTTTAGATTTGCGTAAATTAGATGGGGACATATATTTGAGCTCAGATTCCTTCGCAAAGATGACTAACATGAGATTACTTCAAATCTGCAACCATTCGTACAACCAAAAGAGATATCATGTGTTCCTTCCTAATGGTCTTGAGTCATTGTCCGATAAGTTGAGGTACCTACGCTGGGATGATTTTTGTCTGGAGTCTTTGCCACCTAACTTTTGTGCTGAAAATCTTGTAGAGTTTGACATGGTTCGTAGCAAGCTTAAAAGGCTTTGGGATGGAGTTCAGGTATGAATGTGTATATACTTCCTGTATTTGGTTTTAAATTTGTAAAGGTAGGAAAGGGAACCTTAAAGAACCTTAACGAGCTTAAATATATGATTTGGTTTCTCTTTTAATTAAGGCTCTTTATTATGAATTTAACGGTTTCTGAGCAATATGATACATGTTCCTTGTTAACAGAATCTTGTGAATTTAAAGAGAATTATACTTTCGGGCTCGCGAGACCTAATTGAGATCCCAGACTTATCTAAGGCAGACAATCTTGAACTAGTATATCTCATGAATTGTGAAAGCTTGCGCGAGTTGCATCCATCTCTGTTATCTCGCCCGAAGCTTGAGATGTTGTTTTTAGCGAATTGCAAAGGTATCGAAAGCCTTTTTGGGTGCAAGAATCTTGAATGCAAGAACATGTTATCAGATGATTCAGGAACAGGAATGGGATATATTACAAAATCAAACCTTTCTGAGTCCATGCAGCAGAATGCATCGAATTTGTGGTCCTCACAAGCACTCCCTCACAACATTGGTAGCTCTTTGTCTCTAAAAGAGTTTCCACCATCCTTAGAACGCTTGGATGCTTGTAACTGTACATCTCTGGATACAGAATTCACTCAAAAGCTAGTGTTACAACACATGATACAGAACCGCATACCCTACTCTCGCCAACACCCTCTTCAAATTAAAAAAGATGCTCGGAAATCAAGCTATACAGTGTTAATTGGCGAGTGTTTCTTATTCCCTGGAGACCATCTTATTGAGGAGTGTATGTTTCAAACGAGAGAAAGTTCAATAACCATTCCTTATCTTCCACAATCTGACTTGTGTGGTTTTATCTATTGCATCATTCTTTCGAAAGGAGATATCGGTCCAATGGTTTTATATTGTATCTGTGAACACGTACCTTTCGGGAGCAGTTCCCATGTGACACATCATGCAAATTTAATTTCAGATCATGTGATATTTTGGTATCATGACGTCAGCAAATTTAACAGAACGAGAGTGGATAAAAGGGTCTGGAATCTTTTAAATTTTACAAGGGGAGCGTATGATCATTTCAGCAACATATCATTTAAATTCGATGTTAATAGAAATGCTGAAAATAAACGAGAGTGGATAAAAGGGTGTGGGGTTTTTCCAGTATATGCCTCAGAATCAGGGTTGAAGTTGGTTGGTAATAATAGTACCATGGAAATTTTTGAACCCGAATTCATTACTCAAACCATTGATAATGAGTCACAACTTAAAGCAAATGGTGTTGGAGGGTTCAATAATGAAAATGAAGATGACCAAGAACAGCTTCTTCCTGCGTCAAAGAGGAGGAGGACTACGCCAGAAACCATAATTTTCCCATGATTTCTTTGTCTTCGGTATGAAACTTCACCCGCTCCTTCACTGTAGGCTCCTCAGTTGTTGCTTTTTTCTTTAATGAATTTAATCCTTCATACATACAAGTTATCAGTTAGAAATACTCTTGATTCTAGAAAACTATGTCTAGCATTTCTCGATAAAATTGTAATGTAATTACATGTTGAGCAGTTTTATTGGTTGAAACTCCTGAGCAGAATATTGGTGAGAGATGAAAACTAGCTCGGTGGGAGAGTAAAAAGAGTAACATTATGGTATTCATTTTGCAGTTTGCCTGGACAATAGAAAAAACATATCGAGTTCTTATGGTAACGAATTGATTCATCATTTAGATGTAAAAGTGTTGTCATATGTTGCTTGTATGAGTTTTACATTTGTAGTGTCTTAGTTCGAATTTGTGTTTATTTTGTTATTCTATGATAACGATAACTATTCCTTATCTTCCAAAATTGTACTTTTCTGGTTTCGTTTATTGATTCATTCAATCTAAAGGATCACTCTCAGAAATACCCTTAAAAATAGAATTGTCAGTTGCAATTTAGAAATACCCTTGATTCTAGAAAATTATGCTTTGTATATTGCAGTAACATTGTACCGTAACAACTTGTGCAGGCTTCTTTTTGGTTAAAGCAATTATGGAGAATATTTATGTGCAATGAGCCTAACCTTTTAACACAGTCGAACCACTGAATATGTTGCTTATGAATTTTACCATTTGAGCTAACCCCCTTAGATTGCTGATTTAGGTTGTGTTTGTATTAAGTTGTGCTCTGCTTCTGTTGTGGTATTATTTGCTATTGTTCGTATCCCTTGGTGCTTTTATACTTCATGACGTTGTAACAAGTTGCAATTTTTTGCCGTTCATTTCCTGTATATTTTGTTCAAGCCTGATTCATATTTCTAGAAGTAACAAAATCTTGTAAAAAAGTCAGATATTAGAAAATTCCAAAAAGCTATTGTAAAGGATGGATAATAGCAATAATCATGAAACTCTAGATTAGAATTTTTCTTGAAGAATATAGAATCTGTCTATATTTTAATAATTAATATATAAAAGTTGAGAGGCGAGTTATATTGTTGTCACCTCAGTCATTCAATAAGCCAAAATTTTACCACAGCTTATGGGTATCATATTTTAGTCGAATCCGTCATTTCCTCTCTTATTTTCTCAAGCCATTTTTTCTGGTCTTCCTTAATGAATTCATTCTTATGGTTTACACACATAGCTATTTAATCATTGTTTGCAAATTGCTATTGCTGGTAGGGCAGTAGGTTTACAAAGAAAATAAAGCAAGGAACACATTGGTTCATCATTTGGAATTTTATGCCAATATTTTTAGGGTCCCTCATCCCCCTTGAATTGATGAAGTCCATGGAAAGAGAAGTTATTGGCACGCCTCTTCTAAACCCATGAAACATTTCAGGCTTAAAGGGCACCTAATTGGTGTCACTATCATTTAATATTTCTCCAAAAAAGCATCACTTACACGGGAGTTATAAACATTGAGAATGAGATCAGGTTTTTGCAAAACATCATCATGACACTAACACTAAGCAACATTGTTAGAAACAAAAAGACTAAAGGATAGGCACAAAAGCAGAATGCATGGAGGATAGATCCACAAAACATATGGTAGATAATCACCTTGGAAGCCCAGAAATTTAGAATCCTAGTTAATGGTCGGATGAGTAAAGCGCCTCCAATATCAAACTAGTGTTCTCCCAAACGAGAAGAGCACGATCTGCATGCAGCTTCATTTCAGCAGCACGTAACTTGTTCCACTTGCACTCCATTTCAGACCTCTTGGATTCTCCAATTAACTCCAAACCCCTCTTTGCATCATCTTCACTCACTCGATACCCACTTTGAAAACAAAACATTTCTCTCAAAGGCCAACTTGAACCCCCAATAGGCTCTGAATCAACGTCCATCTTTCCAGATTCCATCAAAACGGGGCCAGCATGGGATTTGGCTACGAGTTTCTTCTTGGGAGCTTTCACATGAGTTCCCCAAACCCTTTTGGACAACTCAAAAGCTCTGTGGTCGTGCGGTTTGAAGAACTTTGGGTCTTCGTGCTCGTCGCTCTTCCCTTTGATGCAATTGATCTCAAACTTCCTTTTCAGCCTTCGAATCTTCTCCTTGAGTTGGTTGGTAGAAGCATGGACGTGAACCGATTCCTTAACGAAATCGTTGAAATCATGGGCGTGTCTAAAAGGGTCTTGGCCAGTCTTGGAAGTGAAGTCAACCATGCCCTTGAGAATAGCCAACTCGTCTTCCTCGCTCCATATCCTCTGAAACTTCTTTGTCTTCTTCACATTTTCCTCCTCTGAACCATCCGTTGCTGTTGCCTTCTTCTTGGCAAGTCTTCCCTCGTCCACGGGCGAGTCGTTCTCGGCGTCTCGCTTGGATTCTTTTGCCTCCGAGTGGGAGTTAGAGGGAGGGGGTGACGGGTTTTCTTCTTCTCCTTCTTCAACATTGGTGGAAGCTACTTCTTCCGAAGGTGGTGGTTGTTCTTGTTGTTCTTCTTCTTCTTCCTCCTCTTCTTCTTCCTCTATTTGGAGTTCTTGTGAAGATGGTGGTAGCTGTGGATCCTCCACATGAGCGCGCCTTTTCTGCTTCTGCGGCATTGAGAGTGGCAGAGGAAACTTGAAACTGTAAACTGGTGGGTCTTGATATCGGTAATGTACTTATTATTTATTACAAAAATCACTTCGAATACAGAGCCTATGGCCTAAGTTCTCACAGGAAACAAAGCAACTATTATATACTTTTGGTTGAAGCAAAAAGTTTTGGTCTGAACCACTGTTTCTTTAAAGCATGCACGAAGATATATTAAATAATCTTTTACTGAAAATTGGCTCACAACTTCCGATGTGACCATACCTAAATATATATGATGAATCCAGAAAAGTGGGAGTGTAATTATCCATAGAAGAAGTTGATAGGCTTCTATGCCTGTGATCAATCACAGAGCAGCAGATAAACTTTTGAAAAATTTTAATATAAAATTATTATATTTCACATACTTTTTATCTCACTTTCTATTACAATAAATTAAGAAAAAACAATGATTATTTTGTCCGGGGAGTGCACCAGTCTAAATCTAGTAAAAGCACTTGGAAATTTTCATAGGAAAATAGGCCATAAGCCCAACTGTCATCCCTTGCACAAGAACATCTCTTGTATATTTTCATAGATGATTGACAAGCTAACTGTAAATTTCAAGAAATAAATATTTATAAAATTAGTTTATTAATTTATTTAAAAATAACTTATAAAATTTAGTTTCAAGAAATTCTATAACATAAAATATCAGCTTCATTAAATTATAAAATAATAAAATTGTGTTGAATGATAGATCAAATGGTGAGCAACTTAATGATCCAAAAGATACACCCTTGTTTGACATGATGTATATATAAATTCACTAAAATTACATTAAATCACATTTTAAAATAAAGGCATAATTAAAATATAGCTGTGAAATAAATTTATATTTAAGTGATTTGACATGGATCTAAACACACCATTAGCTAAACAATTTAAGAAGGATTAAGGTTGAAGCGTGGTATCTTCAAAATAGTATTTATACCATAAACAAATTTGTACTGAAAAAAGAAAAACTACAATCATTAATATCATTTAATTTGCTCAACTAATTTACCATGCAGTAAAAATATACAAAAATATATTGTATGCCATTGGGCATAATTGGCATTGAATGGAAGGTGTTTTACATACAAGGTCTTTTAAGAACAATTTCTCAGTTATACTCAGCCAAATCCAAGGGCTTGAAATATTTTCCATCTATAAGATAAGTTCCAATGCTAAGTCTCACTGCCCACACATCTTTGGGTTTTCTTGAAACAATTCTGCAGGAAATGATAACCCAATTGCCATTAAAGCATTAGATGTTCACAAATTTTTATATCAGAATCAAACTACGAGTATATATTAATGTTAGAGTACGTTGAAAAAAAAATCTATAATTATAATTTTCTTAAATATACTTTTTTTTAGACTTTGAAGAATTATTACTACTTCTGTAAATGAAATTAACACATATATTTGGAGAATTGAATTTTCCAATTGAAGTGAAACAAAATTATGAATGACTTAAGTAGATTTGGATAATGAAGTGAAATACCTTCCCACGTCACCAGGCTTAACCAATCCAGAATTGACCCTGAGACATGGGACAGTAGCTGCAGTCTTGATCATTTTGGGAGCTTCAATAACAATGATGGGAGACCCTAACTTCAACTTGGAACATTTTGCTTGCAACTCTTTGTCCTCCTCTGAAGACTCTTTTGATTCACACTTTATACATGTTACCAATTTATTGGGTATGTTAAGTTGATAATTCAAGCTTCTATATTGCATTGCCAAACTGCTGTTGTCCCTCAAAAGTGGCTTTGTGATGGCACAAGAAAAGGACAAGGCCATGCTTACCTTTTGATGAAGCACCCCTTTATAGTCCTACAAATCCTTAAAGAATTGCTGATTCAACACCACATCCTTTCAAAACTAAAAAAAGGTTATGGGAATTGGAAGAATAATGAAAAAACCAAACATTTTTAATTGAAAACTTTACCTTATGGGAGAAATGTTAGCACCCGAAGGAGGCAGGGAGGAAAGTGAGTAAAGAGAGGGCTATGAAAGGAGGGTTCTTCCTCTTCTCATAAACTAAGAAAGTAGTGTGTTGTATTTCGAGGTGGCTTCAATGTTTAGTGAATTGGGTATGGTTGCAGGTTTTTGTCAGAACTCTTCTACTCATTTGCGGTGCATGTTTGACGAAGGGATAATAAAGACAAAATGTGCTTAGATAATGTTTTTTTCATTTTCTTTTTATTTTGGGTTTAGTTGGCAGCACTTGAATTGCTGAGTCAATCTGCAAATTAATCTTATTTTATTAATTTTTTTTATAATTGATAGTATTTTTGTGATACATTGTTTTCTTTAAATATTTTCAAATTTTGTGTATTTTTTTAAGGTTTTTTTTTATCTATTTTTTATAATTTTTTGTTTAATTAGCTAACTCATGACTCCGTTTAAGCTGAGCTAAGTTAAAAATTTACTGATTTTTGAGTTCAGCATTTGTTTGGCCAACTAGTGAGCTGGATTTACTTACTTTAATAGTTTTATTTTGTATATACTTGTTTTTTTATTTTATTTTTCTATTACATTGTTTATTACTTTTTCTTTTAGTAATAGCTCCATATTTAAAGGGGTATAAAAAATTCGCCTTATGAATTTTTTATATATTTAAGTTATAACAATCAATACTATTACCCTTTATCTTGATAATATGCATATCTATTATTTATATATAACTTATTTTGTCATTATAAATGTATTTTATTTGTGTTTCATTATATTTTTACAATAATATCTTCTCTATTAAATTTTCAAATCAAAATTTAATATATTTCTTAAAAACATTTGATAATTTTTATATTTTTTAAATGTATTAATATTTTTTATTAGCTTAACCAAGATATATATGCCATATATAAAATTGAAAATTTGTTTATTTTATACAGTTTATATCAATTTAATTTTGTATATACACTATTGCAACCAGAGCCATGATAGATGGAGAAATAACAAATTAAAAATGCAAAAAAAGAAAAAAATTATCAATATTTTTAAAGAAATATTAAAAAGAAAATTTTAAAATTACTTAAGTTCATGAATTTAAATTACACGTTAAAAATATATTAGCATCCTACCGCCTATATAAAAATATTATAAAAAGAAGTTGAAAGTTTTGTAAAATATTCCTATATTTTAAACATACTATGAAATTAAAAAGAAAGAGAATTTTTTTTTAAAAAAATAACCGAGTTCCATAGGTTTAGATTCATATTCTTATGTATTGCTAGTAAAATGAGAAAATTAAATTTATGTAATTTTTAATAAAAAAAAAACTTTGTTTGAAAGGTATTTATTTAAGAAATAAAAAAAATAAGAAGTTTATTGAAATATTGTAAGAAAATTAAAAGTAAAATATATTTGTAAGGTATTTAAAAATGAAAGTAAACATTTAAAAGATAATAAGATGATTTAAAAAATTATTTTTGTTTCTTTAGTTTTTATGAGAATAGAAAAATTTTCACATTATGACTTTATATGAATCTTTATTATGTGAAAATATATTTTAATTTTTAAAAAATAGCAAAAATATAATATTTTTTATTATTAAAAATAAAATGTAAGACAATTCATATGCACATAATACAAAATAATAATATTAATATGTAAAAATAAAGATTTTTTTTAAAGATTTTTTTATAACTGTTCAATTATAATAAAATTTGACTCAAATAATTTAAGTAATATGTAATTATAATTGAACGATTAGATTAATAAAAATATTTTGTATACGAAGTCTGCTAATGGAATAAAAATATAAATTTAATTCAGGCATTTAATTTTATAACATTCAAATAATAGAGTGATGTAAGCATTATTTTATTAATAATGGTGTAAATATTTTTAATTTTTTTCTTTTAAAAGAACAATAAGTAAAATGACATATTTAAAAAAAATTATTACTTAATAATATACTTTTGAAAATAGAAGTTTAGAATAATTATTTTATATTTATTAAAATAAATTTAAAATTAATATATATATTAATGATCTCTTAAAAAATAGTTATCTAGAGTGTATCTTATTATTCATGCACCTAAAAAAATGGTAAACTAATTTATTAGCCAATAAATTATAAATTTATTGACAATAAAATAACAATAGTAATAATGAAGGAACCAATCTCAAACAATTGTATATTTTAATTGATATTGAACAAATGGACCATAATGCCAACATGCAGGGGAAAGAAAAGGATAACTATTTTTATCTCTTTTGGTTTACACTGTTCTTACACTCAACCCAATCTAACTACTATTATCGTCCTACCATGTGGTATTTGTGTAAAAATAAAATCAAATTGCAACGTTTATGAAAAAATGGCTATGGTGTTAATGAAGCTTAATTGAAACTGCACAATAGATGGGTGAGAATACAATGAAGCATATTTTCAAATAAAACATGTTTTTTAATATAGGTTATGATGAAGTCACGATTAAATTAATATTTAATTTTATTTAAATATTTTTTAAAATTAATTTGTTTAAATTTTATTAAAATATTGTTTAAAAATCATAAATTATAACATTTTATAATTTTTATTCAAATTATTAAATAATGAAAATTTTAAGTAAAGTTTTTATAAATTAGATTAATTTGTGTTAATTTTTATTTTTAGGACAAAAGTGGAAGGGAGAATGTCTTAAAAAAACCAATAAATTCCAAAAGTTAAACAAAAAAGATAAGGTTCTTGGATTAAGTGTTCCAACACTCATTTACAAAAGAGCATAGTTTTATTAAACAATTAGGTATTGCAATGATGAGTTTGGATGTTACAACGCCCATAATTTGATAAACAAATTTGTGTATATATTTTAAATATTTAAAAAAATTATTTGATAATATTTTTAATAAAAAATACTTATTTAATCATTTAAAATACACTTTTTATAAGTTGGCTAATGGAGATAACTCCTTTCTAACTAACTCTATGAATTCCTTGTGAAAAGAGTATCAACAAATCATAAATCATGAAGAATTTTTTAGTATCACCTTTGTAAGACTAATTGGATCTCTTTAGGTGATAAAAATAATAGATTTTTTTTCATAAAGCTACTATTTTTCATAAGAATTAAAATTTAGTTGAGACTTTGAAGGATGAGAAGGATAACTGGAATATAATCCTTCAAAACTCAAGCTTATTGCTCTTAACTACTTTTGAGACATTTATTATGATGTCACTTCTGATGTCTCTGCCATGCATAGTCATAGTTAGTTCTCTCCCTTTAGGGACTCAATAGCAATATGTTATTTTCTAATCTATCTATAGAAGAAGTTATGATCTCTCTTTTTTATATTAGAAATTTCAAATCTCATGATCCTTATAGTCTCTATGCTCTTTTCTTTAAAAATGAGTGGAATTTCTTAGGTTATTCTATTTACAACTTTGTTTTAGATGTTTTTCATGATCTTATTAAAATTGCTACAATAAATGGAACATGAATTACTCTAATTTTCAAATCTGAAAATCCTAAGTATTTTAAGAATTTTAGTAGTATTTCTTTGTGTAATGCAAGTTATAAAATTATTACAAATTTAATTGCCAACAAAATGATTTATGTTTTGCCTTAATTTAAAAATTAATACTAATAAATCTTTTATGGTCTTCTCTAAAAACATTGATGCCTCCTTAATTCAGGCCATTAGTGAGTGTTTGTACATTAACCTCTCTAATTAGTTTGGTAGGTATCTTAGTACCTATTGATAATTATAAACCTTCTAAACAACTTTTCAGTGTCAATAATTACAAATTGCAAACGGCTGGAAGAATTATTAAGGTTTTTTTAACCAAGAGCAATTGATTTAGGATGAAATAATATGGCTAACATATTAGCATGTTGTTCCTTTGTGTTGACATGTGCTATTCAAAGAATTAAAATAATGAATAGAAACAAAAGTTTAGAATTAATGTGATATTTTTAAATTTTTAAAACTAAAATATTTTATGCTTAATATTTTAAAAACTAAAATGAGAGTTTGTTAAGTTAAAAAAATCAATCAAAGAAACAATAAAGGTGACACTTGCAAGAGAAGGGAGAGAAGAGAGAGAAAGAGCATCTAAATATTGGTTTCTATATAAGATATTTAAGAAATTTTTAAAAAATTCCAAATTTATTTTGCAAAAGTTGGTTATCCATTTTTATCCACGTGATGTATTATTATATATTATTATAAGATTTTGTTAACCCAAGGGTTTAGGATTAAGTTTAAGCATTTATAAATTTTTAAAAATATAAAAAAAATACATTTATTGTATTAAAATTATAAAAATATAATAAATATTTTTTTAAAAAAATTTACTATTTCTAATTATTTATCCTCAACTTTTAAGATTAAGATTAACAATACTCATTATTAATTTTTAGTTTAAGTAAGAGAGAAAGTAAGATAATAATTTAAGAAAAAAGAAGACAAGTGTAACATGTGCCTAGTCAAGGGTTTTGGTTTTTCAGAGTATAGTAGAAATGTTAGGTTGGTAAAAATGTAATATAAAAGAAAGAGAATGTGTGAAGAAAATATTTGAATTTTGAAGATTTTAACATATTCCTCATAATTAATCTGAGCATCTAGGGTTAAAATAGTCATTGGTACCATAACGATCAATTTAAAAAAAAAATGAAAAATAGAATTTGTTTAACACTTGTGTATTTTTCATGAGTCCAATTACATATATATGTGTAATATACATGTAATTTTGAGAGACAAAATATAGGGCGACAACAAAATGTAATCTACAAGAGCATATAAACAAGCATATTGGTTAAAATGTAGCAAATTAATAGTAACATAAGACAAAGAAACTTTATATTTTGAAGAGGCAAATTGCCATATGCATCAACTCTCGTTTAAGAATAGCAGTACTTTTTAAATTAAATTTAGAATTTTATCTCAATTCAAGATTCACATTAAAAGTTAGTATAAATTATCAAAATAATATCAAGAACATCTATATCATTAAATTTAGGTTTTATTCGCTTGAAAGTAAAATAATAATATAATATTTCAAGTAAAAGAATGTTGATAACATATTCTTGTTTTTACTTAAAATTAATTAAAAATTATGTAAGT